ATTAAAATATCATTAGTGCATATAAAACACATAACATATGCTACCAATGTCATTCTTTTGCACTTAGACACCATTCAATCTTGATTAGTAAAATTAATTATTCATGTTCTGGTAATCATCAACTACTTCATTTGAACTTCAACAACAGAGTCTAAAAGAAAATTTAAAGAACCCTAATTTTAGGGTTTTCACAATCGTGTTAAAATTGAAAAAAGTCAACTACGAATACACATTCATCGACAAGACCAACTTTCAAATATAATCATAAACGAATATTCATAAGTAAATTTGATATTAGACGATTGAAAAATTGAAAAACAACTACGATTATCAATTTCGATTACACATTCAGAGACAAGATCGTTTTTTTCGAAATTTAATATTTTAAACAACATTCATTTACGATTTTGCATCACTGCACTTCATACAAGACGATATAACAAAAAAATCAAAATCCCTACTTCTAGGGTTTTCAGAATCAATTAAAATGTAAAGAATCAGTAAAATGAAATCGACGATTATACTCCTTTTCCAGTTATACCCTATTCATAATAGATTAGAAAGCTTACTTTTTCCACTGAGGTTCATAATCGACGACATTCCTTCACCTTCAACCTTTCACATACTCCAGAATGCACACAAAGTGTTTACGGAAGAACAATAACAATCAACTATCGTATAAATGTTTATTTTTTAGATTATTTTGCATTGCAGATGTAGATACGATCGAATCCTCCAAAGACTGTGATTACTAAAACATAGGAACAGTTTCTTGAATTGTATCACCTACCCGATATATTCGAAATGGATGACATCCTAAAATTACTTGAATACCCTTTTCTACTTTTTTTTTTTTTAATTCAAAAACAAATTAAAAGCATTTAATTTTATTTTAAAATTAATGATTAATGATAGCCTTAGATTTAGAAATTTTAATGTACTAGATTTGTTTTCGCGTTTTCAACTTTTTAGATGTTCTCATTTGATCATTTCTCTCTCTCTCTCTCTCTCTCTCATATATATATATATATATATATATATATATATATATATATATATATATATATATATATATATATATATATATATAATATTTTATTATAATTTTTTGTATTTTGTAATTTATATGCATATAAAGTCGTTTCATATATTTTATCTATAAATAGATAAAATATCTCAATCAAAATTTATCCCTAAACCATTGTTACTTTTATTTAAAGTTCTTGTTATTACATCTTCTAAAATGGATCCAAGATCATCTTCAACAAAGAAGGTTAAATACAACCGTAGCTACACAAACAAGAATTTTCCAGGCTGAGATTTCATTCTTTTCAAAAAATCGACTTGACAATGCATCAAATATCATCACTGATCTGAAGATTGAAAATCTCTTCGCTAATCTTGATATTGGTCACAGAGACAAGAAAGTTAAAGTGTTGGAGGATATCCAATCCCAATCAAAACACGTTGTTACTTATCATGAAGCTAATGCGTCAGACAAAGTGTTTCAAAACCTTTATGGGGATTTAGTTGAGTGCGGAGGCAGACCGAGTTCATAAGCCAAAGTAAATGTAAAGCAATAGTACATTGTTCGAATTAAAATCACAAAGAAAATGCAGCCAAAAAGTGCACTGTTGCATCTGGATTTAATATCCACACAGGAACAGACCACAAAGTTGCTAGCTAAAAACACCAAAAGAAAATGTAGCCAAAAAAGAGAAATATATGTTTGCATTTTGCCTAATTTTAACTGTTGTGACTTGTGACTTCATGACTCCTGAGTTACCTGTTGCCAAAAATACAGAAGTTAAAATTACAAATCAGATTATACATCCTGCACATATTCACAGATTAACAAAATGTCTTTACATGTTTACATTTTAACTCATTAACATGTTTAAGACCATTGTCTTTACATGGTTATTTCCAGCAATGGTGTATATATATATATATATATATATATATATATATATATATATATATATATATATATATATATATATATATATATATATATATATATATATATATATATATATATATATATATATATATACAGCTGCCATTGAATATTGTATTACATCAAAAGTTGCAGGTCGGGAATATGACTTACCGAAAGGAAGGATATACAAAAGAAAACCAAAGAACATATGATTTATGTTTTAATGGGAAGTCCTCATAGAGAATGTACACGTTTGGAAATAACTTTTGATTTATTATTATATTTAGAATCAACACAATTTTAACCATGATAAACGAAAGTACCAACTTAAAGTGCTACATAATAAGATGTTAGTTTAAAAAAGTATAAATCACAAACCTGAAATGAGCTTAAGGGTAGGTTTGTTACAATGGGACATTTTGGATGATGCGGATAAAGGGGCCATTAACGTCTTTTAGACGAAAGATAGTCAATGGGTCACCTTTTTCCATCAATTTTTTGTGGACAAAAAACATAACTCTTTGTATAACCGGCCTATCAAAAATGTCATAGATGATGTTTTTTTTTTTTTTTGGAAAAATAAACTTTTTAACCTCTAATTTCTACGGTGGAAAAACATTCGAGGAGAAGACTATTTAAAAAATAATTCACATCTATTCCCACAAGAAAAAAAAAATTAGTTTTTGTTTTTGAAAGACGTTTTCTAAGTTCCAAACTTATGTGATATTTTTTTCACACACCAATCTTGCCATCACTGCTGCTACCACCTCCGCCAACGCCGCTACCACCATCAATGTCGCTGCCGCTGCCACCATCACCATTGCACTCGGTGCCACCACCACCACCACCACCATTGCTGCCACCACCAAACACCACCACTTGTTTTTTTTATGAAGATTTAAAAAAACAAACATTTTTTTTATGAAGAGAAAAGACATGGAAAATTATTTTTGGTCCACATTTTATTCCACACACATGGAAAAATACCGAAAACATTTTACATCTTCAAAAGCAAACACCAAATTAATCTTTCGACTTTTTTCAAATGCTAATTGATTTTCTTACCTACGCCTTATGCGATACCAGATTATCATGACCGAAGCAGCAAGGGCCAAACCCGCAATGGTTTGTGGCAACATGTTACTCTTATTATTCTTCTTATTCATGTAGACGTAGTAAAGAGGAAAAGGTGGCCTTTTTATGAATCCTAACTCGGAGAGTTTCTTATGTGATATTGCATACTGCTCCAGGAATGAATTTGGATTCTACAAGCAATGATTCAACATAAACATCAATTTTTAAATTTGTATTGAGATGATAAAATACGAAATAAAACCAAATATATAATACGTAGAAAATAAACTACATTACTATGATGCCCATGTGGTAGCAAAATGCAAGTATTTTGCTATTATAGGTATATATAATGTACATTGCTATATTATTAAGACATAAAACAAAGTACATTGTCCATACATGGTAGCAAGGGTAAAGTAGCCTGTTTTTCAATATACCTTACAATGGCTTAGTAAGAAAATGTTGAAAGCACAATGTTGTAATATAAAGAAATGAAAGTATGATGCCATAATAAACCAAATAAATGAAAGTGTGTTGCCAATTCTTGCAATTAGAATTCTATACCTTGGCATATGTAATAACATACAAGCGAAACCAAGCATTAGTCATCAATAATCGATCTGAAGGAAGCAGTAACAACCCCTCCGGCTCTTCGTTCAACAAGTTCGCCAACCTTTTTCCTTGGAACCCTCGCAACGCCCATGGATCCAGCTTCATGAACTCATCCTTATGCACTTTCAGCAGCTCCCTAGTTTCAAAAGTCTTTTGTTATATTAAACAAAGATATTGATAAAAGTATAAATATTTATGACATATACATGCATGCTTTCCAAAAACGTGGTGCTATCGAGTATTAAGAAAATATGTGAATGTATTTCGATTTATCATAAAATCCTACTTTCATTTCTTTTTATTACAACATTGTATTTTGAAAAATCTTCCCAATTATAGGAAAGTAAACTAAATAAAAAGCAATTTTCACTACTATAATTAAAAAGATTTTTCTAATTATAATGTCCAAATAAGAAAAATAAATAAAGTACAATACTATAATTCAGTAGACTTTGTCCTGATGCATAGTAGTACAATGTTGTACTAGAAAGAAAAAAAAATAGATGCTATAAGTGCATAAATAAATGAAAGTAATTTGCCATATCTTTTGATGAGCCTATACAAAATTATAATTTGTAATGTCCCTTAAAACAACCAACAAGCCTTACTTAAAGTATGAGTTATCAAATTTAAGGGGCTTTCCAATCCAAGGTCCATCAAAGTCTGATCTATCTTCTTGGGCTCTATCCTGATGACGGCAAAAAACAAACCAAATGATTTAACGCAAAAATGTTTCATATAAATGCATAAAAGATGTAATTGTTTTTTAGGGCATTATAACTTAACAAATAATATGGATTATTTTTCTAAGTACAATGCCCTAATACGAAAATGGTTTGAATAAATTTACTAGTACAATGTCATTATAAAAAAATTAGGATTGCTATTTCTTGTATGTAGACCATCTCCAAAGTCCAAACACGTAAGATGAAAAATTACAAGAATATGGCCTCCCCAAAGAACTACAATGTCCCTGTCGCTGCATAAGCCCATGCGATTAAACTTGGCCCTAGATCAGATGCGCCTGCCATAAGTTTAAGAATAAAACTAATGTTAAACATTAGTATACAGTTAAGGCTGAATTCGGCGCGCCACAAATAGTTGATAAGCTAGCTTATTTTTTGATTTTTTTTAATTGTCATGTTTGGCATGTCAAAATGTGGTTGATGAGCTAGCTTTTTGAAAAGCTACTTAGAGTATCTTTTCGGGAGTTTTTTTTACAAACATCATTTTTTGTCAGCTAGCAGCTAGGGTTTTAGCTAGTCTGCCAAACATAGCCTAAGTGATGAAGAATAACACTTTACGTAAGGCTTAGATACAAGATATGACCATATACTTTCATTTATTTGTGTATTATGATATCATACTTTCACTTCTTTCTATTACCATTGTATTTTCTTATTAAGAGATTGGACTTTAAAAACTCAACCCAGTAATGCACTTTCATGTTTTTTCTTACTAAGACATTGTACATTTGGAATTTTAACCTATTGTAACAGTAAGAATTGCTTTGTATTTTCTTGATATTGCTATAGTTGGAGAGATTTATCAATGTACAATGCTATTATAGGAATATATGAAAGTAGGATGCTACAATAAAGAAACCAATGGAAATGAAGCTTTTTTCTGCTAATCGGAAATTATATACTTCCTAAACAACAATATTGATACGATTTAGAAGTTTATTATATTTATCTCTCTAGTAGTATGACACACATCAGGGAATTAACTTTAGTGAAAAACAACCTAGATCTTTATATGAGATGAAGAATGAGTGTATGGTTCAAAACCTTTTTCAGCATCCGGGAGTCTGCCTTCTACCGTCCATTCCTCCGAATCCTAAATGAAACACAAAATATGTAAAAGCGTTAAGAATAATCCTCTGTGATATTATTATTATTATTATTATTATTATTATTATTATTATTATTATTATTTATATATATATATATATATATATATATATATATATATATATATATATATATGAAGATCTAAAAATTTAGAGAGTTTGAATTTATAAGAAAAGAGAAAAATATATAACTATTAAAATTGAATTGCATATATATATATATATATATATATATATATATATATTATATTATATATATATATATATTTAAATTTAAATAAATAAACAATTAAAATAATTGTGTTCAATTTAGAAATTTAGTAATTATAAAGAAATTTTTATTAATGAATTAGATATGCATTTATTAGTACATTTATTACATTTAAATATTATTTGGAATTCAATAAATGGAAAAAAAAAACCCCACAAAATGAGATGAATATAATTTAATATAAATTTACCACTATATAGCATGTGACATAATGCATGAAAGAATAACAAGTGACAAAAATGATGTGTGTGTGATAAGAACCTACAGATGTATGTAAGAAAGAAGTCGCTTGTTAAGAGACAAGAGCAAGAGCAGTTTAAGGCCCTTTTTGGAAATAAGTTGGATCCTTTAGGTCAACCACGTTACAGTTAAAACAGAAGTAACAGTTCTGATCCAATAAGTTAGGAGCAAGTATCTTTTCTGTAATAAACCTGTAGTTGATGTTTTTCAGTTGTGAGTCAGATAATAAGTTATTTGTGTTCTTGTAAACAAGGAGATTTACCATCTCGAATTTGGCCCTATTAATCTAAGTAGTAAGCATTCAACTATTTAATTTAATCAGTTCCTATCATTTGGTTCCATTGCTGGGAAACTTCTTGAAGACATGGTGCATACCCGGAGCAATTCAGAAGAGGGAAACCAACCACCAGAACCTGTAGCAGTGCAACTAGCCGCAATCGCCAAGAAGTTGGAATCTATAGATTTGTTGCTGAGGGAGGTAGCAGCCCTCAAATCTCAATTGCACAATAAAGAAACATAGGTTAATGGTAGACATGATGAGGGAGATTCATCTTGGCATAATCAAAGGCACCGACCCCATAAAAAAAAAAGTTTTTCCTACCTTTAGTGAAGGAAATCCACGGGGTTGGATTCTTAAAGCAGAGAAATATTTATGCTATTATGACATTCCATATGAAGAAAAAGTGGATGTCACATCGATACATTTGGAGGGTGATGCATTGGATTTTTATTCTTGGATATCTACTGATCAATCAGCAGATTTTTGGGAGGGTTTTGTTCGAGCCTTGCAAAGAAATTTTGGACCCACTGAGTTCCAGAATCCGGATGAATTCTTGTGTAATGTTAAACAAACAGGAACGGTACAATAATACGGACAAGAATTTGCCAAACGATCTTCACGGGTGTCCAATTAATTGAAAATTTGTCTTTTAGGAGTGTTCCTTAACGGCCTCAAAGAAGAATTGAAGGAGGATGTACGAATACAGAAACCACAAACAGTATACAAAGCGGTAAGTATCGTTTTAGAATTTGAATCTAAACTCAGCCATACCCGATTTGGGAGAGGATCTACTTGGACAGCACCATCAAAAGCATCTCAAAATGAGTACAAAGATATGACTCCAACAAAAAAAACTTTTCCAAAAATAATACCAAACCACCCTTGCGAATTTCTGATGTAGATAGGCAATCTCGATTTCTTAAAGGGGAATGTTTTCGGTGCGGTGAAATTATGGACCAGGTCATCGATGTAAAATAGGAACTCTCAAGGTGCTGGAAGTGGAAGAAAAGATTGAAGACTAGTCTCCTAATGAAACTGGAGAGATGGTTGAAGATATGAATGATGTGGCAGAGGTTAGTTTACATGCCATTCTTGGAAAACCCCATCCCAGAACTATAAAGGTTCAAGGTATGCTCCAATCTACAGAAGTAATTATTTTAATTGACGAGGGATCAACACATAATTTCATCTTAGATGTACTAGTTAAGGAATTGCGACTTAATACTCAATCAGTGGCACCGTTTGGTGTTCAGATTGGAAATGGTGATTTCATCAGATGTGGTCAAATATGTAAAAACCTTCCAATATAAATCAATGATATTAAAGTTGTCCAGGACTTCTATCCTTTTTCGATTGGTGGAGCAGATTTGGTTTTGAGTATTCAATGGTTGGAGATATTAAATACAGTCCAAGCAAATTGGAAACAGATGTTTATGATTTTTAAGGTAGATGGTAAAACTTATAAGTTGCAGGGAATTACTACAGGTTCACAAAAGTCTTCTAGTTTTTAATACTTGGCTGTTGAACCGGTTAATCCACCAGAAATTCCCAAGGTGCTTCCATCGGTGACCAGCCGATATGATCAGGTCTTTGAAGAACCCAAAAGTCTTCCTCCGAACCATTCACAGAACCATTATATTCCCTTACTACCGAATTCTACACCCTCCCCCCCAATATTTGTCATTATCGATACCCTCATTCCCAAAATGCTGAAATTCAAAAAAAAAAAAACAAGTGGAAGCATTGTCAACAGCGGGATTTATTCAACCTAGCAACAGTCCCTTTTCAAGTCCGATTCTACTTGTCAAGAAAAAAGTCAGCACTTGGAGGATGTGTGTAGATTATCGAGCCCTCAATAAAATAACGATCGTCGACAAATACCCAATTCCAAATATTGATGAATTGTTGGACGAATTATATGGAGCTACAGTTTTTTTCAAGCTGGACCTTCGCTCCGGTTACCATCAGAACAGAGTTCATGGACCGGACATTCCAAAAACAGCTTTTCGTACTCCTTCCGGGCATTATGTGTTTAAGGTAATGCCCTTTGGTCTAACTAACGCCCCTTCCACGTTTCAGGCGATCATGAATGACTTGTTCCATCCTTATTTACGTCGTTTTATACTAGTTTTCTTTTATGATATAGCAGATAGCCCAACATGGAATAACATCTTTTGCACCTTGAGCAAACTTTGAAATTACTACATGATCATCAGTTCTATGTTAAGCTTTCAAAGTGTTGTTTTGGACAATCTAAAGTTTCTTTTTTGGGGCATATCATAACCGAGGATGATTTACAAGTGGAACAGGAAAAAAATTATGGTTGTACAATCGTGGCCCATCCCTTCTAATGTTAAAGAAGTTCGTGGTTTTCTCGGTCTCACTGGTTATAACCGACGTTTTGTACGAAGTTATGGTTTGATTTCACTACCTTTGACTAATCTTACAAATAAGGATGGTTTTATGTGGTCTAACGAGGCATTAGATGTGTTTACCACATTGAAACAAGATCTACTTTCAGCCCCTGTTCTCCAGTTACCAGATTTTTCCAAGACATTTGTAGTTGAATGTGATGCTACTTCAGCTGGAATTATTGCTATTCTTTCTCAAGAGTAGCATCCCATTGCTTACTTTAGCAAAGGATTTTCTCCCTCCAACCGATTTAAGTTAGCATATGATCGAGATATGTTAGCTCTTGTTCTTGCTGTTCAGAAATGGAATCACTATTTATTGGGTCGTCACTTTCTTATTCGCACCGATCATTACACTTTAAAATTTTTGTTGGAACAATGCATCAATGCCACTGAACAACAGTGAATTTTACTCAAATTAATGCCCTATGATTTTTCTATAACTCATAGAGCTGGAAAAGAGAACAAGGGAGCGGATGCACTCTCTAGACGAACCCATTCAGGTGAACTATTCATCCTTTATGTACCCTATTGTGTCGAAATCGCTGATGTTAAAGAAGGAATTAAACAAGATCCTTATACAATCGACATTCTCCAACAGCTCCATACAAATCCTTCCTTAGTTCCTGATTTTTCTTCACATGAACAACTCTTGTTTTTCAAAGGAAGGATGGTTATTCCAGATATACCTGATCTTAAACTTAGTTTAATTCAAGAGTGTCATAATTCACCAGTTGGAGGACATGGCGGTTTTTTAAAAACCCTTAATTCAAGAGTGTCACAATTCACCAGTTGGAGGACATGGCGGTTTTTTAAAAACCCTTAAATGATTATCCCTCCAGTTCTTTTAGCCAAAAATCAAACAGGAAGTCAGGGTATTCGTGCAAAATTGCCTCGTATGCCAGCAACAAAAATACCAAACACTTTCCCCGACTGGTC